AAATCCATCGAACTTGACGCATCTGCTCGAAATGCTTTTACTCAGGTTAAAAAAGCTATTGTGGATGCCACACTTCTGATGTATCAGGATCCAACGGAACCGTTAAGTATCTCGGTTGATGCATCAGACACTGCAATCGGCGCAGTTCTGCAACAACTGGTCAACAGAGAGTGGCAACCACTCGCCTTTTTCTCGAGGCCCTTACAATTAGCAGAAACAAAATACAGCACATTTGGAAGAGAACTTCTGGCTATGTACTGTGCTATACTTCATTTTCGACATTCAGTGGAGGGTCGTGAATTCACAATTTTCACTGACCACGAACCTCTGACGTACTGTCTGAACTCAACCTTAGATAGGTTAGTATTCACCTAGAGAATCACGACAACTGGACTACGTTTCACAGTATACATCGGATATTCGCCATGTATCCGGAGTGAACAACACTGTTGCAGATGCCTTGTCGCGCGTTTGTTCCCTCGCCCAAATCGACGGCATAGACCTTGTAAAACTGGCTCGTCTTCAAAAAGAAGATACTGAGATTCAGCATGAGTTGTCGAAAACAACTCTGCAATTAGCTGAGAAACCCATAGATATATTAGGAGACACTATTCTATGTGGCATTTCCACGAATACTACTCGCCCCCATTGTTCCTAGAAGTTATCTCCGTAACGTCTTCAATCCGTTGCATGGCTTATCCCACCAAGGTAATCGAACTACCGTCAAGCTCGTGACTAGTCGATTTTGTTGGCCTAGAATTTATAGAGAAGCAAGGCAATGGGCACTCACGTGCTCAGCTTGCCAAAAGTGCAAGGTAGTAAGACACAGCCATAGCCCCCTTGGCAACTTTCTTACTCCTGGTGCTCGTTTCGAACAGGTTCACATAGATTTGGTTGGACCCCTTCCAGAATATCATGGATATACCTATATGTTAACCTGCATCGACTGTTTCACACGATAGCCTGAAGCAGTACCCCTCAAAGATGTATCTGCTGACACGGTCACACTCGTCTTTGTAGAAAGATGGATCGCAAACTTTGGATGTCCATCCACCATAACAACTGATCGCGGGTGGCAATTCGAAAGCGGTTTATTCTTCGCTTTGATTAAAATCCTAGGTTGCATGTGCTTTCGAAAAACAGCCTACCATCTTCTACACAGACAGCTGAAATCTGGTTAATCACCTGCAAACAACACCCATTGGACTGAATCACTTCCGTTATTTCTCCTAGGGATACGAAAAGCCTTAAAAACCGATGCCGGTTGAACTACGGCTGAGCTAGTATATGGCACGACACTACGACTGCCAGGTGAGTTTGTTTCTCCCTCGAGCTTCCCACCAGAGGTAGAGCACTCCTCATTCGTCAGCAGGCTTACAAACACAAACGTTCAGTTAAATCTGCTCCACTTCGACCACAGTCCATTGATGTCTTCATTCACCCCTGTTTAAAAACTTCACACGTATTTCTCCGTCGTGACTCTGTGCGTCGCCCCCCGTATGACGGACCATATAGAGTCATTAAACGTTTAGATAAATTCTTTATCTTAGACAGAAAAGTCTATGAAGACAACGTCTGAAACCGGCTTACTTGGAAGGTAATCCTCAAGTAATTGAATATCCTTTAGTACTCGAAGAACTCCCTAGCATGGCGAAAGCCACCGAATCTTCTGTCGAGCCGTCTAAGAGAACGCGTTCTGGACGTCACGTAAGATTCCCCAGAATACCTTCACACCTATACACATAACTGAGTGGTTCGATTCACCCAACTCATTTGTTTGTGGTATTAATCATTATTTCTTCTTTTCAGACACATCAACATTTTTTTATGTAGCATCAATAAACACAAGTAAAAGATTTTTTCTATAACCGTACATTAGGCATGCACTTAAAAAAAATTAGATGTATACTTTTTTCGATGTTTTAAACTTTACATTATTTTACCGTATCGTAGATGCACATCATTTTCTTAAAACGCTGATTTGGTACATTTTCCTCGACAAGGTTCTTAGCATTCTTGTTTTCTTTTCCAGGTGCGACGGGCACTGGACAAGAAACAAACGAAGCACGGGAACCAACGAACAACATCGAGGAAGCCATGTTCAGACACCATATGAGCATTGGCAGACAGACCAGTAGGCACTCCACCAAGGCGCTCGGAAGATTTTTTTCACCCTAAAGGGAACCATCGAGATTTTTTTACTTCCGGCTGGTTCTGTCTTAGGGTCCTCACAACCCCACTAGGGGGGGCGTGAGCAGTAGCGGTAAATTATTCCCTAAAATTATTGACCACAGAAATCATCACTCAACATTGGATGCTGACCCTCACTGTTTAAGTCGACTTGTTTAGCTGAAGGCTTCCGGTCAAGCATCCCCGCCATTTGGTACTCCGTCGTGTCACGTTCGTGCACGACCACTAGCCAGCTAAACAATCAATAAGGTTCACGATTTGGTCCCGAAATATATATCGTACTTTGGACGACTAAATCGGGTCTTTTGCTTTATCTTTGGTACTCGAAGAGCGAATACTATAGAAGTTGTTTGTATAAGATCTCGCGTTAGTATACTCCGTACAATTCGCGAACGTCAATACCGTCAGCCTCTAAAAGGTTGGTAACGACTTGAGGCCTTAATATTTATGCACAACCGTACAAATTTTAAAGAAACCATACTCTTGAAATGGAATTTAGCTGAGACACTGTAACTTGCGCAAGGTCCATCGAGCTTGTCGAAAATAGTGATCCATGTCTGAGATGGGGGCATGGGTTAACAGATATTGTGCAAAAACGGAGATTTAATATAGAATATTGCGATCGTTACCACGTTTGATACTTGAAATGCACGAAATGTCGCGAGGGAAGTCTGTACGATTTTGTTTGTGGTATGTGCTAAATTTTCAGCCCCTGATGAGATATGAAGCGGGTTTTGAAACTTGTTAAGTACCGTCAAATTAGCAAAAGTGAAATACGACCCGAGAAGGGGTACTGTATAAGGTCACGATAGAAAACCATCTCAAAATGATTTTTCTCACGAACAGCAATTCAGCATTATACACGTTTCAATCCAAATTAGTATTTGCAGTAGCGACCACGCTGCATCAATTTTTGAATCTAAAGGTTCATGGAACCCTGACTGAACACCGCTCCAAGCATATGAATTCTGGAAAGTCACGAAAAGATTTATTCAGGGAGTGATTCCAGATATAGTCCATGGCAGCCGAATGCGTAGTTTTGAAATAAATCATTCAGAATTTATTTGGTGTTAACCTCAACTAACAGCTGAACTGACAGATAGCCAATCGACAAAGATGGAACGTTCTACAGACAAGAATCAGGGTTATCTTTAGCAAGGATTTTGAATAGTGGAGTGACAAACGAAGTTCGGAATAGAAGAAACAGAGATCTTCGAAAAAATATAGAGAAAGCCTGAATCGTAGATAATAAAGCAGAATAAAAATGTTTTCTATAGTTTGGTTTGTAGGGGTTGGTTTTGTTTTTATGAGTTGATCACGAACTGATATCAGTTTTCAATGGTTCTCTAACTGATATCAGTCCGTAATCAACTCGTAAAAGAATAAAAATGTCTTCTAGAAGGGGCAATTTCAGGGAAAGGCTTCAGTATCATGCATTTCATATGTGCCATTTGCCAAGTTAACAATTAATGCACCAAATACTATGCCGTTCCTTCACCTATGCTGAAGTCACCTCCTGTGAAGTGATGAACACTTGATATTCGTGAAGGAAATGTAAGTTTCTGCATCATTACATTTTTGAAAACGACTTGTATGGAGTGAGGGAATGGAAAACGAACCTGGATTTCTGTTGACCCTGTTCAAAGGTGTAGCGAAAGTTGTCTGTTTATGCATGTGGAAGAAAATGATCTGGCTTCAGCGTTCTACAGCTCGAGGAACAGATACGGGGAGATACAGAAATATAGGAGATTAAGACCTTGTAAATGTGGAGGTCTTGGCACAGACTCCAAGCGTTATTGTAGTTCGTAGTGATATTTCATGGCAGTAAAATTTACTTGACAAAATGATTTACAATTGTAACATGTTATAAAGGTCAAACACTGAAATTATCATTAGGGGTAGCTGTCCTTATCCTGGGTATTTTATCTCCAAGATATGTTTTCTATACTGTTTCACGACGATCTCTGTTTTCCCCTGGACAATAAATTAATTCAAAACATTCACAGAAGATATCATCACTATACCACAAACAATTTTTTAGTTGCACGAGCAAAAAATTAATACATGTATGTATATCTATGTATATAAATATACGAGTAATCTACACTTTCAGTGCTAAAAATGAGTCACCAAACAGGTCACATGAGTTGTGCAAGCTACGGCAGTGACAATTTTACGGAAATGGGAAATCGGTAACCTCATTCACTGTGCGTCGGTGGAACAGTGGTTAGGACTCTCGCCGACCATGCACATGGTCCGGGGCTCAATCCCCTGCCGGATCACCCCCGAAATCTACGGTCGGCCTGTAAATTTGGGCTACCGATATCCATGCTGAAAATTCCATACTTGAACTGAAAATATGGTATGGAATCAAGCTGTAATCAAAAATAAAATATAATAAAATACTAATGTTTGGAAGTGTGTTTCACAGAGTCAGCATCTATGGAAGATCAAAGAGTATATATTTCTTCAGTGATATCAGCAAATAGCGACAAATTTAAGTTTGGAAGTGTCTATAGAACCTAGCAGCGATGTGTGAATTGCCGGATGGATGACTAATTAATTATTTCAATATTATGATAGCAAATTTATTTAAACCCAATACAATCTCCCATTCTATCCGCGATCCAACAAATCTTTGGTAGTCCAACTTCACACTATTTTCTGTCAGATTCGAAAAGCGTTCTGTTCTTTAGAAGCAACAATGCAGAAATTAACTAGTTCTATTTAGCTTGAAAAATGCTTGCTTAACACTGTTCTCTAGGTCATCAGATTTGGCGGAAATCTTGTTCTTCAAGGTTTTTCCGAAAGACTCTATAGTCAGTTTCAAGGTCATGATGGGTTCCTGCGTCTACTGGTTATATGTTTTCGTGAATTCGTTTTCCATTGAATTTTAAAGGTTTTTGTGAACGTTTTGCTTGTTTTGGAGTATGTAGGTCAGATTTTTGTCACTGGATGCTACTATGATGTTTATTTTTAGCATGCAGTTCCCAGTTTTTATGTCGGTAGTTAAGGATTATGGTAAATCTGCAATCATTGAGCCAATTCACGTATACTTTGCTAATAAAGTAACATTCCTCAGTAATTAAACGCCTTAACTTTTCTGCCATTGTTGGATCAAACAGTGGCAGAACAGTTACGGATTATTTGCTTAAGGTGGAACTGTGCGCTAGTTTATCATCATGACTGGCACCATTCAGCACCTTGTTCTTTTTCTAGACATTTTCGGGAGTAGATCAGAACCTACTGGTTTTGCTTATCAGCTTTATTTAAGCCCTTTCAGCTCATTTTCAGTACGGACTAGCTTTACTTCCGAACAAAAAGACATAATTTAGCACATACCGGCAATTTTTCGAGCTTAAATTTGGAAATTATATTTGGAAACTGTAGTACTATGTCACTGCAAATCCGTCAAGTTAGGTCCACTGGTAGCACTCTGTAAATAAGCAAAATAAAATATCAGTTGATGAAAAATTGTGCTCATCACATTCTCAGCATTTACATTTAGAAAAGTTTGCTTATATAACTGCCACTGTTATATCCCCTGGTATATTTTCCATTTGCCTAGAAATCAAAACAATGTTGTGATTACTACATGTTGTCTTAACGTTAACCTATAAAAGTAAGTGGGCGTTTAACAGTATTGCCTGAATTTCTTTCTTCAGGTTACGCCTTTGGATACGATCTTTCAAATTATGAAAGTACGATTTCGTGGCCTAATCCACTATGTCACCAACCTCTCTCGATGTCATCAGTTGATCGCTACAGAAATAAGTACTTCATTAATGAACCCTACATCTCGTGACTGAATTTCGAACATCTGAATATCCCTAAATTCCTTGATTTAAATGGTGTAGTAAAATCATCACTAAAATCACAGTAGGGTCGAAAGCGTATCCTATCTTCACTTTCCATTTCAACTATGCTCCCCCGGCTTACCTGAGGCCAAGATTACATTGTCCGGAGAATAAGAAGTAAATATGGCGTTCAGATAAGTTAACTTTCCTTTGCTAAACTTAACGCCTAAAGCACACCTGTACTTTTCATTAAGTGCACGTGCTCAACATAATGCTGAGCTGCCTGCTTAGCCACAACATATCCACAGTGCACGAACTGTCTGATCATGCGCATATAGGATTCAAAGGGAAACGCACTGAATCCTTCTAATAGCCCATGCAGCTCGACGTCATCCACTGTATGTTTCAGAAAATGGATATTGTAAACAATATGTTCATCTCCGAAACAGTTCTCATATTGCAGTAAGAAATTACTCAAATCCGTTCAAACAGCATCCAAAAACAGTCAGCTGTATTTGGTACTCGAAAGTAAGTATACTGCCAGGGAAAATTTCCTATAATTATAGTACAGGGGGGGAGGCGAAATGTTCCTGAGTAGGTGAGACCCAAATATAGTAGCTTTTTAGAAGGACCAGGGTTTTTTCAGTACATAATGGGTTCACTTCAAGTAGATAAAATATTCATTTACCGTAAAAAGGCATTATTGACGCGTTGGTTAGACTTTGCTGAGAATTGTTGCAAGGTTGGTATTTTAACCGTCCCAAGCTTACTAAACTATACCTCCAAAAGTGCATTCATACCTCACAAACTTATATTCCATAGGGCCAGATGGGTCTTTTTTACCTGAATCAAGCCGTTAGGATGTGTTGGATTCCTTTCAAAGAAATAATGAACAATTTAGTTGTTCAAATTATAAGGATAGAAGGCTCTTGTTGCCTATGTTAATCCTCGCGATATCTATCTCTGCAGATATCCAGTTTCCTTTTTCAAAGCGTTCACCGATAGATCTGTTACTACTGAATCAGATAAGGAGTTCCAGTCGTGGACCGCTCTTTGAGAGAATCTAAACTCCACACGTATTTTGTTCGACCTCGGCTTAAGCACCTTGTGGTGATCTCGTAAATGTATCCTAGAGGGAGAGAAAAGGTATGAAACGTCAATCCCTAAATCACCCTTGAATATACGGTAAGCCAAAATTAAGTCGCCTCTCCTCCTATGGTATGATAATGGGACGAGATTTAAATGCTCCATCCTCATATCATAAGGTGTGAGATACCACTAACCAAGTCTAGAGTGGACAGGTCATGTTCAGAGTGGTATCGTGTTGGTGCATCTATATGCTGCACAAGTGCGCATTCAAGTACTGCCAGTATGAGTTCCCTGTTGAAACAGTTGTACGAAGTAGCTGATGTTAATTCCTCCCAATTGGTATATGGGGCATTAAAGTCACCTGCTATTAGACACCTGTTCCTACTACTCCACGTCCTGAGGTGATTTAGAACGAAATCGTCAGCTTGGCTGGTAGGACTTCCATAAATAACCCCAATTGCCACAGTGCCTTCGCTCAAGTTAATGACGCAGCTTGCGGCTGTCATGAGCTTCCGACAACGTCGATCTAATTCCTATGTCATCCCGGATGTATAGAGCAACCCCCCTACTTTTACGACTACTTACTCTGTCCGCCCTAATGCAGACGTACCCAGGTATGAGTGGAGTTAAGTCTACATCCACTAAAAACTATGTTTCGGTGATAGCAATCACATCAGGTTGTAGTTCCTCATACAACACTTAGTTCAGGAAGCTTATTCCTAAGACTATTAGCGTTCGTATAGCATACTGAGAGACCTACGTATTCACTCAACTTTTGAACAGAAGTCTGAGCAACACAGGTTTCCGTGACCTCACTACCCGAAAACCAAATAGTTTGAGGTCTTTTTCACCTTTTTCTAATCGAGCCTTTAATTCAGCCACGGCTTCTCTTCTCCTAATTCTATCTTCCAGAGGCCAGTCTGGCCTAATTCTCATTTTTGTGTCCTTGATCTTGAATGCGTTCCTGATAATAATACTTCTCCATCTCGTCCGCCAGTACTATCTTCAGCAGTCATAGGGAACTTTCTGTTGCATCGGCGATTCGTTTACTGATTCTGATGACTTTCCTTATGTCAACTCCATTTGTTTTTTCAGGAAGTATTTCACGGATGATGGAGCTAACTATCTCGAGATCATCAGCACGTTGGGCAACTGGATCTACTTTCTTCGATTCCTCCAAGTTCCAAATTACGATACTGTAATTTGAGTCCGAAGGTTTAACAATCCTATTAGTGTTTACTGCCGTTGAGACCTTATCACTAAGCACAGTACTTTTCTCTTTCCTATAATTCTTTAGCTTCCTATCTTTCGGCACTAACCGATTGGAATCAGTTAATTCCACTTTACTCTCGCAGCAGTTGGAAGCCGTGCGTTCACCAGACACGCAACGCTTCTTCGTTGTAGTATCACCTAGCGGTCTTAAAATGTTGACACTTTTTGCCTTCTTAGATTTTCGGGGATTTGTGTGTGCTATTGCAGACTTCTGGGCACACTTTACCTCTGTTGCGTCTTTCGAAGCTTGGGGATGTGGTTCTGTCCCGGTCTTATGACTAAGGCCAGAATCCTCACTTATGACATCAGTACTAGATGCTGGCTTTTTCCCCTCACCTGAGGTTTTTGTTAATTTCTTGGACATGAGAAGTCCTACGGCCTCTTGGATGAGGACGTCCAACGTGTTAGTACAAAATCTGCGCACCCACGGAGATGATGGCTTGCTGCATCTCCTATAGGCTGATGGTGATAAGCCAGTGCAAACTTTACGGAGCCATAGGTTGCAGTTATCACACTGCATCCCATCATCCACCGGGAAGTGTCAGTCCAGTCGTCCACAGCTATTTGTGAGACTCACGTCAGTATAAGTTGTTTCAGTTACACAGACAAATATGTATATATATATATATATATATATATATATATATATACCTAAATGCAGAGATATAAAAACCATACAAAAAGTCACAAAAGTGCACAAAAATAGAAAAATAAACTAATTAAACCAGTTAAAGTAAACCAAAAGCTTCTGATGCGATTTATACAACAAAAGCAGAAGTTACTTCACAACGTAAAAATGCCACTCTCCTTTTCGAAGCATGTCTCAGATTCAGATTTCAGATTTATTGGTTGAGGATAGAAGGCTTGGAGCCTATGTTAATCCCTTTCTAGTAAATTTCTGTGGTTGTCCAAATCCTTCTTGAACGAGTCAGCTGAGGTTGCAGACACCACTTCTTCCGGGAGTCGGTTCCAAGAGTTTATGACTCGGTGTGAGAACCAGTACTCAACAGCAATATGATTTCTTCTTGGCTTTTGAACTCTCCTGCTATGTCCTCTAAGGTGTTCCGACCTGGTGGGAAGGAGAAGAGAAAATAGGTCAGGTCCGTAGTCATTATTTAAAACTTTAAACATTGTGATTAAATCTCCTCTCTGCCTACGGTGTGACAAGGAGAAGAGATTTAAACTGTCTAGTCTTTCCTCGTATGATAAGTTAGTCATGCCATGAATCATACGTGTTGCCTTCCTTTGAACCCTTTCTAGAATGTGTGAGTCCTCTTTTAGACAACGGCTGGCGGCCTGGATGCAGTTTTCCAGTCTTGACCTCACCAGAGATGTATATAAGGAGGTGAACATATCTCTGGTGATTCTAGTGAAGGCTCTACGAATTGCCCATAATGACCTGAAACTACGTGCAGCCACCGCGCGACAGTGTGCTGTAGTTTTTAAGTCGTGGCTAACTATGACACCTAAGTCCAAGTGAGTCTGAACTGATGGAAGTGTAATTCCCTCTAGTTCATAAGAGCTCATGCTTGCTTGTCCAATGCGCATGGTTGCACATTTTGCCACATTTATCGGGAGCATCCATTCTATGGACCACTCTGACAATTTGTTGAGGTCCTCTTGCAACGTGGACGTGTCACTGTTGCTCTTCAGCTCTCCAAATTTTTAAGTCATCTGCGTATAGGACCATATGGGAGTCGGTGAGCAGAGGTAACTCATTGATATACAAAATAAATAGGAGAGGTCCGAGTACCGTGCCTCGTGGCACTCCGCTGCGTACTGCTGTTCTAGAGGAGAGTTTCGAGTTGATCCTAACCCTCTGCCTCCTATCTATGAGGAATTCCCTGAGCCAGTTTAGTAAGCTGCCTTTGATACCAAGACTTTCCAACTTCATGAGTAGTCTTTTGTGAGGTATTTTATCAAAGGCTTTGCTGAAGTCTATGAAGACGACGTCAACGGGTCTTCTGTTGTCCCTGGATTTGACCCAGCTTTCTCTTGCAGTGAGAAGATTTGACAGGCATGAGAGGTTCCTTCGGAAGCCATGCTGTGCTCTTGATAATAAGCTTCTATTTTCTAGATATGCCATTATGCTTTTCTTGATGATTCTTTCCAGTGTCTTAATTAAAGTGCTGGTGAGACTGATAGGCCTGCAATTTGAAGGGCTTTGTCTTGATCCTCTTTTGTGGATGGGGGTTACTATGGCTTCTTTCCAGTCACGCAGTAACACTCCATTTTGGAGAGAAAGCTTGAAGATCGTAGTCAAAGGGCCGGCTATGTGGGCTGAGAGCTCCTTGAGAAGCCTTGGGTGAAGATTATCAGGACCCATTGATTTCCCTGCATCTAGTTTCCTAAGGCAGTTGAGCACGATGCCTTGGTCGATGTCAACGGAATCTATCCCATGATCTTCTGATGCAGCCGGAGCTGATCCTATAGGCAGTGACGACTCCTGAGTGAAGACTTGGGAGATAACTTATCCCTATAAAATTCACTCGTAAATTTCTGTTGAAAAAGTTGAGAGTCTCATTGGAATCCTGATTTTTAGCCAGCTGTCAAAGAAAATCAGAGACAGTTACACATTAACAGTCATCTCGATTTGCCAGCCCACCTTCCCTGAACAACATTTTGCACGCACATATTGGTTTTCTTACACAAGAAAACCGCAACGTATGTAATGTAATATCTAAAGTAAAATAAGTTGTCTGCTGCTAAATTCTGGATACCGTTGTAAAAGTGTGAGAACATCCCGATGTAGAGCTTGGTGATTTGATTTCATCACTGAATTTGACACAGTTGATCACTGTGAGTGGTTGTCGTTTGCAGAATAGATGGTCTGTACTGCGAAAATGGGAGTTGCGTCAATATCCGTCTTGGGGATTTTGTATAGGGTTGTCCAGACTAGTTACTGTACCATGTTCTTTCCTTTTTATCACTACATTCTTCACTAAGAGATTTGAATAGACTATGAAAGATATTAATTTTTTCTGCATGAAGTGGAAATCATATTCAGGTTCATCTACTTGATATCAGTCAGAACCATTTTTAATGATATCTTGCTTAACTGTTCGAATCGATATGGATGTAGCACTATTTGAATCTCTCAATCATTGGTCATGTTTTTCATGACTTTCCTAGTGAAATGCGACTGAAAAAAGTTGTCTGACGTATAAATTAGAATAATTTCAAATCAGATGCAGGTTTCACATCCCTTTAATTTTTTCGGGATACTATTTGCTTTCACAGAATTCTAAGTGCGTGTTAATTTTCGTACTTTCAGGTCCTGACATCACGTGCAACTCATTCAGAAATAGTTTATTTGTAAAACAAAAGTTGGCGTATCCTTTTACCATCACCTTAGAGAAAAATGACATCAGCACAGGTAGGTAAAATGAATCACATATACATATTACTGTCTGTTAAAATGGAATTTGATATTTCTCTCTTGTCAACTGGGCATTTCACCTAATGCTGTTAATATTAGTCACTTAAGCACTTTTGATTTCGTCGCTGTGGTATAATTATTGCGGTTGAAGTTTCACAACCTTATTTCATGTGCTAGTGTTATTTGTACAAATAACGCGTTGTTTTTTTACTATTCAACTGATAAAAATTAGCCAATGAGCTATAAGTTGCATTTAGGAGGTGGCAAGGTATTCGGGAAGTTCTGTATGTGATCAAAGCCATCAAACGGGACTGCGCTGATTATATGTCCTAGGTCACCTGAAAGACATCTTAAAAATGCATATATTACAAATTTCATTAAAATGATACAGGGGAGGTGTCTTTGATAGATATTAATGAAAAGGTCATCATAAAGTGTAACATGACTAAGTGTAGGATACATTTGATAACACCTTCCCACTTTTAGTTTCTTGTCCCCTCAAAAGATACCTTAAGTGCTGAGTGCGTAAACGCATTTCAGCAAAGTTTAAAGTTTTTCGCACACCTTAAGGACAGATCCGAGAGTGTTTAGGATATAAATTGCTACTCGAGGACTGGTCTGAATTGACTATAGGAATTGTGATGGTTGGGATTGTTGACCAATTCAACAAGCCAGTAAACAGCGTCTGCTCCGAAGATGCATTTATAATTCGTGTGCAGGTAATTCGTTGGATTGAATTTGGCTTCATTTGCATATTTTGACTACTCTAAAGAGTTAATTTTGTCTTTTGTCGGGCAATAATCATGCTGCAATGTTTCGAATTAAGGTTTGTGGAATTTTTTTCACTTAACTGTTACATTGCAGTAATTAAGTTATATGAAGTAGTACTAAAGTGATCTGTGAACAAGAGGTTATTAACCAATGATGTCTCTTCACAAAACTAATTTCTATCATCCAAAGAACTATTATCCAATCTATAATTTTAAGCTGCACCACTTAGTGCACCAGTCGAAGGTATTGCTGGTGTACCTATTTATTTGCAAATGATGCAACCTCGAACTAGATTGTTGGTACAAGTAAGCGATTGACTACTAAGTAAAGCATTGATCCGGTGTACTCTAATTTTGTTCATATGTTCATAATTTTTAAACTCCGGGTGATCAAGCCTAAATATGGCAGTTATTTATGAAGTTTTCCACTTGATTTGAGAATATGTAGATAAAATAGGGTTGTCGCGATGTTCAGAATGAATTGTTAGGGAACTATCATTGACGAATCAGTATCATTCAAAATGCCTCACTTTTTACACTTTTGGTCTTTATGAAGTTCCAAGCAACCTTGATCTTCATCATGAAATGACTTTATTTGGTAAAGACAGTGGTACAGTATTATTTACTGATAGTGTTTTGAGTACAATTTGTTGTTCATAATTAGATTGAGATGCTTCACAACAGGATCAAGCCCATGTGAGATAAAAGTGCTCCAGCCTTTCTGCGCATATCCTCTTCTAATTTCTATGCCAAGTATTTCGTCTCTGTACAAGATTCTATGTTGATATGATCATGAGGTTATTTCGCTTGTAGAGTAGTGTCACTTTTGAATGTTATTCTTCGTACTGAATTATAAATATTTTACAAACCTTTCTGGAATCTGGGTCAGTACTTTATTGATAACCTTTTTAATTGTTCTCAGGAAACAACTCACCGGAGTTTTACATTATCACTAATGTTAATTCACCTTATTAATTTCTATAGATAAAAAGTTATGTGACAGAAATTTCGAACTTGAAGGATCAGTTCAATGCACTATCGAATCAGTCTAGCGAAAAACTTAAAAAGATTATAGAAACTGTCCAGTCTTATCAAACACGTATGGAGCCGTTGAATAAGAATATGGAACAACTTCAAATATTACAAAGAAGTTAGTTTTCTTCAATGTAATAATAATAACAACCACAAAAACGCTTGTCACTTAATAGTGAGCAGATTTATGCCTTAATTCAAAACTCTTTATGTTCTTTAGGAGCGCACATCATTAACTCTTAGAGTTTATCGGTGACAACTTCGGTTTGGGTAAATGGATGATTGGCTATACAGCTCTATCGCCTCCTAAGGTTGTCAGTGAGTCACTGATCCCATCCGCAAAGTCCCGAACCCCACCAGTCATGGGTTTTAATACAACTTTTAGGCACCCCTACTGAAGCCACTCAGTAACCAGAAGTGGCTTAATATTTCCCTATACTGTTATGTAGTGTAAAACCGACTTAGTGGTATCAACCATCTAGGTTAGTAGCTGACAAATCAGAGGGTAGAGCAATGGGCTAGTAATCAGGAAACTTCTTGTTTGAGTACTTTCATAGCTCGAGCTTTTATTTCATCTTCAACAAGTATCAATTACATAAATATTTGTCAGTAGAGTGGAAGACAATAGTGTCGGGATGAAAGATGCGATTCTGCGGTATAAGTGTTTGTGACACTGTATATCACAAGAAAGGCCCGATCAAAACTGCAAGATGATCTAAAACTCTAGTCTTTATACACGTTGTCTCCGTTTTCTCTGACCATGTTTGTTCAACTAGCTAAATACGTGTAAGCAATCTACACAAAAAAGTTAGAAAACTACTATTAGAATGCACAATGTGTGCTCACTTTTCACTCAGGAATGAGCCATCTAAACAAATGGGAGGGGTTGCAATGTACTTTTCCCTGGATTCTGTACTAGCTGGCATTTTGTTTTTCGGTAGAACTTGAAAATAATCCACTAAGAGATACATTTTTGAAGCTTAATTTCTGTTGTTAGCATTCTGACAGCACATCCATTTTTCGCTTTTGAATATTTGAATAAAGTTCATCCACCCATTAGGAATACACATTATCCTCGGATATTCTTCTCACCAGAAAGAAGTTTGGATCTGTTAAAGTGAAAATATTTAGAAATAATATACAGAATAGTCAATATTGTCCGTCTAAATAGCCCCACATCACTTCAGTACAAAATACACTGCTAACTGTTTTAATTACAGATTAAATAGAACATTACGCGATGTCTTCTCAAAAGAATAGGAATGCTAGTTATAAAACTTTTCAGCAATGTTTCGCATTTTTAGTTTATTCTACCCATCTGTAGACTTTAACTAGTCTTATGAAATTGTAGCTTAGATTAAGTTTATAGAATGTTTTATGCGCGTTAAATTATCATCAACCTTTTGAGTACTGCAAATGAAAGATTATCTTTTGACTGTTGACCTGGGTAGTGTTAAATTTATTCTGTAGGATATCTTTGGCCTTTTGTGTTAGAAAATCCCATAAAAAAGATTCAGGGGTTACAAACTTTGGATAGTACCACAGGACACTGACTACACTCTCTCATATACATGCTCTATTTCTTTTAATGAAAACATTCGATCATTTTCTCTCGTCCTGCATTCGGGTGGAATATAAGGTTTCAAGCTGTTGAAGTTCTAGTAGCAGTGGTGTAGTTTCTACGGGGTATATTTACTCCCTCCTTTTCACGCTTACTGCCATCTAGGCGAGGTCTAGGAATGTGTCGGCCGATGAACTTCTGCGTGTGTGGTGAGCATTCGACCACTGAATCACTTAGACATTCGTTCGTGTGTGTGATTTATTTATTATTTATTTTTATTTTTATTACAGCTTGATGCCACACAGTATTTTCAGTACAAGTATGGAATTTTCAGCATGGATATCGGTAGCCCAAATTTTGCAGACCGACCATAGATATCGGGTGTGCATCGTCAGGGGATCGAACCCCGGACCATGTGCATGGTCGGCGAGAGTCCTAACCACTGTGCCACCGACGCATCTATATATTCATATCTGGCTGCTGACAGTTTATTTTCTTTTCTCGTGAATTTTTTGTTTTTCTTATCAATGTTTTCACTTTACTTGTTTAGATTTGGAATCATGTCGGTCAAAATTGACTCAAGTGCAGGAGTATCATCGTACTGGACGTGAATTAGAGAACACTATTAGACAAGGGTATTTTGAAATAAAATACTTTTTGCATTCATCATATATATAATAGGCCGACAGCCCTACTCAACGATTATTTAAAGGCTATGGAACGTATAAAGGAGGCATTAGCCTTTTTTCAAGAAAATAATTCACAAGATGTTGAATTCAGTCGACTAGTGAGTGCTTTGAAAATTGTTTCTACCTCATTTTTTAAATTATATAGTTTCTTCTCTTCATCTCATGTACTCATGTATTTTTTTCATTTTTATGCTCCTTATTTTTTAAATACAGACGTCATTATATTCAGTTGGTCTTGGAAGCTTAGAAAGGGAATTTGATGGAATACTGAGACAAGCATTTCGGCCTATAAACGATGCTACCTTGATACGATTAATGGATTACAAAGGTAGATGTGTGTGTGTGTGTGTGCTTGTGTCTTTCCTTTTATGACTGTCCACCTATATTTCACTCTATATTTAAACAAGCATATTTTCCTGCAAGCTAACCGCTGCTTAGTCTATTGCATTGCTGTTAAAGGGGTGGTAGTAAATCTGCATCTAGTAATACTAGTTGCTCAAAGTATGGCCAATGAACATCATAGTTACATAAATGGACGAGTTGTATTTTATTTTCGAAATTCTGCACATCATTATTATTTTACTTATTCTACCTACAATCACACTTTTCCTCCCCGTTGTAATATCATTTAGGAAATTTATTTTCTGTTTTTCTATTGTTTGAAAATTTGACACTAACTCCTGTACCTTTGTGCAAGATTCACACATTGAAGAAGTCTTCAAAATCAGTTGTGTTTCTTGTCAAATAACTTATATCCCTATTGTGAATGTTCTAATTAGATCTATGTAATTTTGAAATAGATGGACCATACAAAGTTAATAAAACAACAGTATATTGAGAAGAGAAATTGGATGATTGTGAGACAGCATAATGTTCCGAGTTTGTGTTTCAATAGTAGTAATAATTAAAACAAGTAAGCATACTTATAAGGAGCCTTCATTACTTTGTGTTACTTTGGGAAAAAGAAGAAAGCAGAGCATTGAAGCATGTTCTCTTCTGATTGCGATTCTCATCTATATCTAATAGCGTTCTAAACCGCTGATTTGGATTATCTCTCGAACCACATCTAGGGATTTATGATGCAACAAATAGATGCTAACTCAACACAATTTTTCTTCATCCTACGGCACCACATCTCTTCCAGCTGATAATTTGGAGAGTCCTTTTGCATTCTCTCCGCTTTCACAGATTCCTAGCACTTATATTTCATGTCTTCTAATTTCTTGTGCAGTTTATGGATTCTTACCAGTCTCAAACTCCATGTGGACATTTCATGTGCCTATTCGTATTTCTGCCTTTGTCGAAGAAGACTTATTGCCCAAGTGGCTTCACTGTTGAATATCACCAGCCAGGGTCAATCCTGCTCTCCGATTCCAGCAGAGAATACGTTTATCCTTTTTATTTCTTCTGTGCTTTGAAGTTTCAGTAGGGATGTGGTTGTGTTTTGCGGAGTGGAGTCGCTTTCCTATGCCCAACCTCCCTTTTTTTACGGGCTTAGTAACAGCTAGTAAACTAGGGTTTTATTACAGTGAAACAGAACTAACCTGAAGAGTACATAAATGAAAGACATAGTAGCTGATTCATTGATCGTAGATTCTGAGAACAAAAAGTGATGAGAATACACAAATCAAAGTATTTTTAACATAGAGCATTCTGACTTGTAGTAAAATGATAGTATTTCCTCATATTCTTTAAATGTCCTGTTATCAGCTATTGTTGCTTCTTTTCAAACTCCAAAAACTTAATCATTAGACATAAGCTCGTGCTATTTTTTGCTTGGAGTTAGCGAATACAAGTATAAACAATTCGGTTGTTTTTGATATGGGTTTATGTCACTAGAGTTTGTGAATACTGATGTTAAACACTAGTTTACTTTTCCTCTAGTTGTTATTGATGTGGGCGTGGAGATAGTTTCAGCGTATCAACTCATCAAGTCAAGAAGTGTACATTCCCTTTCTGGATGGCCCAGACTTGTCTCTGTGAGATCTGTAGTCTTTCATGTTTGCCTAATAACTGTAATCTTTTGCCTATCTTATCTTACCGAAATCTACTTAAGGTAGACTATAATGTCTTGCATTTATGTGGCATATTTCTGTATCGATTTAATCAATATTAGACTTCATGTTAAGCATTTTTGTATATCCTGCGTTTTTTGTTAGATTGTAGCTTACCACACACTGTGCTCTTGTTCATTAGCTTCCCCTTCTGACAAGGATTCAGTGGATAGTTCTGTAAATGATGGAGTGGAACGATTAGACGATGTACCTAACGATATGTTGAACAGTCTTCGCTTTCTTGTTAAATGGATGAGCGAAAATCAGTCATTTATAAACAGACCGCAAGGTGCTTCTCAGGGATGTTTAACAAAATACTGCGAGTATCGTCGTGAACTTATTCGTGTTAATTTAATCAGGTAATTTTTTACCATATAATATAATTTACTATGCGCTTACTTTTATGGATTAGCATGAAAATCTGTGTTCGTATGTAATTTGCATGATTTACAGATACAGTACAAGTATATATATATGTATATATGTATATATATACAAACCAAACTATACATATATATATATATATATATAGTTTGGTTTGTAAGGGTTAATTTTGTTTTTACGAGTTGATCACGGAATGATATCAGTTAGATAACCATTGAAAACCAGGGAGTACTGAACAGCTGTTTCATCCTAGTTTGGGAATCATCAGCAGTACGCACCCACCACCGAGGACCTTCCAGTTACAAGGCAAGCCCGTATACGACTCAGCCACTGGAACCCGATTCAATGGTTCATGAATTCTAACTTCTACCAATTCGTGATTTTAGCGCGACCCTAACCGTTGTCGTGGGTGGGACATCCATCCTCACACGTGACATCTGGATGGACTTCACTGGTCACGACTTCTGACAAACTCCAGGAAACTCCATCCTGTAGCAAGTCACTAGCGAGCATCGTATTAATTTTCTACAATTTGTTTTGTAAGGGTTAGTTTTGTAGGTGCGTACTGCCGATGGTTCCCAAACTAGGATGAAACAGCTGTCCAGTACTCCCTGGTTTTCAGTGCTTCTCTAACTGATATCAATCCGTGACCAATTCGTAAATATATATATATATATAGTTATTCACTCTAGAACCATTCAAAGTGTATTCTGTGAACCGAAGTTAAGATTTCCCGCTTAGTACAGAGTAGGTGCAAATCAGATTGATTCAATTAAGCTCCTTAAAATTCACTATTGTAAAACGAAGCAGTTTACACAGATACTTTTTAAGGGATTGTACGTTTACTGTTATGAAGTAGCTTTGATTAAGAATCCGTCAATCTCATCACTCCTACCACAGACTTGATCATTTTCGGCTATAGAGTATGTCGAAATTTTCTAGTTACATTTTCATGTATCTTTTCTTACAGCGACGTCTTATTTCTCTTGGTACTTTTTAAAAATATTTTGGTTTCTGTCATAGTAGCCTTTACGTGAAAAGTTGAGGATATGTGACTGCAAATGTTAGTATCAACAAGACTTCTAAATTCTCCTTGATTACTAGTCATTCATATGGAGCCTTGCTCAAGTGTGTCAATTAGTTTGGAAATAATAAAATTTCACTCGTGCACTTAGTTACAGTTTTGTTGTTCATTTTAGCTCTACATTGTACCTCACATTTGTGAATGGTTTTTATACGTATACATTGAGAGCAACTATGATTAGTCCTTGTTGTTTCCACTTGTAAATGCTTAACTCTGCTTAAACTCCAACCACTTTGTTTTGAGTGCTTGGTATCTCTATCATCATTTCGATAGTTGAGGATAGCTTCATTGTCACTTAGAGTTTCCTGTTTCTTTGATTCAGTGTCATTGTTTTACAATATCATCTTGTATGCATATTTTAGGTCGGACATTTTGGAGTAGTAATCATATTTCCTATTGAAAGCCAGACTAGTTGCAGATTTCTGTTGTTACCTGAGTAGTTATAAGATGCAAACACTTTTACTTTTCTTCGGTCCTTTTCGGTGTTATTTTGTGATATATCCTTAAGTACTACTTTACATTAAAGTGTTGCTTACAAAATATGTCCTGTGATAAACAAATGTTGCTGTTTCCCTACATGGAGAAAACATGCCTAATTTATCAGTGGATACCGCAAGCTTTTTTTCTGTATCATACGTCTAAGTGTGTGTGTATGTGTGTGTGCGTGGTACACAGACTTTCGTAACTGTCCAGCATCTCAGGCTGTGATTCGATTTTGTGAGTAGTAAATAGAAAGCTGTGCCTCATTGTGCACTTAAAGTATGTGTGACATTTCGCATTGGTCTAATTCTTAATTGCTCTTTTAGTTAGAACTCGGTTACCGTGGAACAGACTTTTCAGACTTAATAGACTAGGGAAACTACTGTGGTGCTTGGACTGCACGAGATTAGAAACCTGTATCTACTGTCTGAAAATCAGGTGCTCAAATAAATGAGCCAAATAAGCACAAAGGTAATATAGTCCAGCTGATTAATGTCATCGATTATATGCATTAGCCTTGTTTTATTATTATTATTGTTTCCTTTAATTCCTAGAGGAACATAGGGCCTCAGCCGTGCGTCTCCATTGCGTTCGGTTCTCTGCTAGAGTCTTCACCTGGCTCCAAGTCTGCCCGCACGTTTTCATCTCCTCTTCACATGACCTCCTCCAAGTCACCCTTGGACGACCAACTCGCTGCTTCCCTTTCGGGTTCCACTCGAGCAATGGCTTGTCTAGTGATGTCACTTGATGGTCTACTCAGAGTATGGCCAATCCATCTCTATTTCTTCCTGCCTATTTGTTTCACAATTGGTTCCTGGTTGGTTCGCTCCCAGAGATCCCTCCCTGTTGCTGATCTTTTCTAGCCGGCCATCTGATCTTGAGTATTGAGTGAAGACAACTGTTAGTGAAGGTCTGTAGTTTGTTTGAGATGCTCTTTATGACGCGCAGTGCAAGTCTCTGATCCGTATAATAGCGCTTGAGAGTCTAATCTGTCATGCTGCTTGCAAAGGCATAGCACTTAACTTGATGACCAATGGTGTATAGCTGTAAAACATCTTGTGACGTCCACATCCTTCTGAATTACTTTTTATCTTTGCAATGTGAAAGGAGTTTTCCTGTCGTATAGTCTTCAAGGGAGCCAGTAGTATTCAGTGCACTCTTATATGCATAAATGTTTTCTCCTTGGTAATGATAGCGTAACGCAGATTGATGGGAAGCGACCAAAACTGAAACCAACATTTTAAGTCAATGGCTGCAGAGGTAGAAGTGTTTATTCTTCAAATCTGGATTTAGTTTACTTTGTGCATATGAAATAACCTCATTGGACAAGTTGTTTAGCCTCGGGTCAGTTGCCAACCAATCAAAACAATTTATTCTCCTCTGACCTAGGGATGCATAATATGTTTTTCTTTAATAAAGGTCCGTTGCCAAGTCTGTAAGCTTCTGCCGTTACAAATATTCATATGAATCCTACTTTATAAATGGTATATTGTTCAAAATTGAAATAAAGACATAGATCACAGGCAGGATTCGAGTCCTGTTAGTGCTCCATTTGCATGAAAATCAAGCTATTTCACTTTCAGCAGTGTCACTCCTGCTTACCATTCTGCCGTTTGTTTTCTTACGGTAATTGTATTATTTTATACTTACGTTTTTACACTAATCAGCATTATAAACGACCTGTATGAACTAAATCACTTATTTGTTTAGTACATGGTGTATAATTCTTCTAGAATTTTTATTTCTCTCACTCTCTTTCTCCGTTTTATACAGAGTGCGAATAAGAAAAATTATTGTTTATTTTGCTATCGTACTCTTATTATGTGTATACACATACACATATTTAACTACTACACGCTATTTAAATTATTTTCAGAGTAAGAGAATTATTGAGAAAAGCTGAGAATCCTTCAACCACTGGTGCAGCATCTGTAAGTTTATCTATATTTCATTCATTCATCCATTGTAAAAGGAAGATTATTTAAAGAATATGCAATGATTCACTGTATTATTATCTGTTATTGTAGAAACCAGGATTTTTGCCGCCGAATGTACGTGGTCGAACGAAACGGTATGTATTCTTCCCCCCCCCCCCCATATCTGTTATATATGTCATAGTGATGATGTATATTAAATTGTAAAATAACAGTACACTTTGAAATGGGAATATAATTGTTGAAAATTCCCCACTTGTTTGGTAAGCTTATTTCATGTATTGTCCAGTGATACGGTACTGTTAACGGGATGACGCTTCAAGTGCAATTTGTCGCTCATAACTACTGTGTGTTATGATACTCAAACTTGTCTAATAGTGAATTACAATTTTCCATGATGTTCAAATTCTACGCTTACGCTAGTTTTCAACTGCTGTTTATTCGTGATGCTGCATAACTTTTATCATCACTATAAATTATTTCCCCGCAAACCCGATAAACTGCTGTCCATCAACGACTAACAACCAAATGTGTCTTGTGAATTACCTAGACCTTATGTGCTCACAAATTGGGATATATATATATATACTAAGTGCTTATGCAGCAAATATTTTCAGCTTCCATAAACATTGCTCATCATCGATAAGCTCGCGGCTTATTGGCTTAAGTGCTCAACTTCCAGCCATCAGGTCCCGGGTTCCAATCTCTCTCCATCTACTGGAGCCTAGGCAACTGGATAGTGTGACATAGTAACTGTGCTGCTCATAGCTTAGTACATGAAAAATGTGTTCTGACTAACTGAATTTTAACTTACAGCATTGGCAGACAGGCTTAGTTCATACGATCGATGATGGACTTATTGGGTTAAACTTTTTACTATTTAGCCTTATACACACTATGCCGTAGTCTTAATTGTAATGTTTTACCTTTGTTTAATTATAAGAATAGGACTGAAAAAGAGTAATGGCTTTTATCAGCATAGTGCGTTTGTAAACAACAAAGACTTCTCAGCTTGTTTTATTGAGAAATATTGACTTCCGGAACAGAATCTTTTTAGGGAGACAATAGTCGACAATGGATTATCTGTATCAGTATTCTGCTTTTCGAAACAGTTTCCAACCCTTCACGATACATTTCCTTCACTTCCTGCGGAAATCCATTTTGAAATGAGCGTGAGTAAAGGTGGAGGTTCAAGAAAGTAATTTGTTGATTAAAACAATACTAAATAGGGTAATTTCATCTATTTTGCTGGCACAAGTTTTGGTAACTCTGTATCTGTAAACTGTGATAAACTTAAAAGTAACTTATGCTGTTAGAAACACTTCTGCTTGTCTGTCTTGTTGAAGAAGTTATAAAATTTGTTTAGGATTTTTACAATAAACTTGGCGTTTCCCATTTTTTGTTTTAAATATATTGCTCTCCCGTATACTGATTATATGTCTCTGTCCAGAAATGTTGTTCACTGTTTGTTTTTTCTTTGCTTGTTTTAAATTTAAGCCTTCCTGGATTCGTGTGGGATAGTAAGTGATCTTGTGCTTTTATTTCACTAATCAGTTTTATGCATGATAGACTAGTATATTGCAGTTTTTTACCATATAATTTGGACGAAAATGCTGATTTCAACTGAATTTAAGCCCATTCATGCTTAGACGACTAGTCGGGGGTTTTATTAGATTATTTGTGACATTTCATTTCCAACTGAAGTGTGAGATTGCAGGAAAGAAATTCCAGTTGTTACTCGGTCAGTATCTATGGTGCCACCATGTCATATAGACAACGATAAAGATTGATGTTTTTTGAGTAACAGTGTATTTTACAATACTAAATGTTTATGGGGATCACAAATAATGGGACTATCGACTCAGTACTAGTGAACCTGGACCATGTGTCCTTGCATAAAACTGAAGTTTCGCCTTCTCTGGTACCATAGACAACATATTCAGTGTTTTTCTGAAAGAATGGCTGGAGCAACAATGATTTATAAAACAACCTAAAAATATCTGAATTTAAAACATGGAACCAATTTATAAAGTCAGTGTCGTTTGTTAACTGTTTATGAAAACAAAGATGCCGTGGCTTGGAATTCGTCTCTGTAGTTCAGGAATATTAACTTCTTGTTTTCTGACTAAATTTTAAACACCTCTATCCTGTCACTGTTTTTGTTTGACTTTTCAATTAAACCGCTGTCTTTTTGTATGCAATTACATTGATTTCCCCATACTAATGAATAGCGTGATAGTCAAACCAGTTTCTTTCTGTATGAGATTTTACTTCTCTGGATTTTAACTTCTTCTAATAGATTTGGGTCGTTCTCATATTTCAATTATTTGGGTTGTAGGTGAAAAATATGTACCCGTTCTCAATTCTCTCTCTCTTTTCGACATAGAACTTTGCACATATGTGCGGCAGTTCAAGTCGCCACACTCTATGTAGCACACAAAGCAAGAGAAGAAAGTAGGAGAAATGCATAATAAAGACAGTAAACAGAGGTGTGAGACAAAGCTATAGTAATAACGAAGAACAAAACAGTTTAATTGGGAATCATACGTCACAAGGAGTAGATGCATCTGCGCCATTGAGAACGATTTTGAGCCATATCACCAATTGTTTCCAACCATTGGTTTTTACCGTCTCGAGGACCCCAACCAGTGAGGAAGTCTACACCTTCCTACGTGGCTTAGACTAACTGTTGTAGATTTCATTGACTGGTGCCATGTTTTGGTTTGACCGCCACTAGCTCTTTTCCAGCCTGACCCTACACCACCTAACATTGCCCGTCGAGGAAGGCGATGACTCGGCATACGTAACACATGTCCTAACCATCTCAGTCGATGTAACTTCACAGCCTCGTCGACTGATTTCCCCTCCTTACCTAGCACTCGACGCCTAACCTCAATATTGCTCACCTTATAATACCACTTCACGCGGGAGATAGAACGCAGACACCTATGATCGAAGACACCTAATCTTTTCATGTCTTCCGCTCTCAATGGCCAGGTTTCACAGCCATAATAGAGGACGGAGCGAACTGATGAGCAGTACACACGTACTTTGGTTGATAGCCGGATATCTCGGCTACGCCAGAGACGGCGTAAACTGGCATATGCGAAACTAGCCCTCTGTATTCGTGCTGAGATTTCATCAGAGAACAACCCGTTGGGGCTGATGGTTCTCCATTAACTGCAGTGATGTCTTAATTATGTTTTCTGGGACGGAACTCGTCCACAGTAGTATTGTATTATTATTATTGTTCCCTTGGGTTCCGAGTGGAACATATGGCTTTAACAGCACCTTGTCGTATTCCATACGGTCCTCTTTAGCTGTCTCCATGATTACCCATAGTCTCTGATCTCGCACGAACTCCCCCATGTTACTCCCGCATTCGTCGTCTTCCATTTGGGTGCCACTCGAGGGCCCGGGATGTGAGTTGTTATTTGGGAAACAATTAATCCATTGTTGACTCCAGTTTCTAGCGAACGGATATTATTTGCATTGCAATACGTTTGTAGGTAATGATTGTGGCAACCCATGTCGGATTAGTTTGGTAAGATTCGTATCAGTCGGTTTCATACTAGTTCGTACGTATTGATGGGAGTGGTATGACTTAAGCCTGCATCTACCAGTTAGTGTTGCACAGATGGCAGAATTTTTCCAAGAATAGTCTAGTTCTTACTTGGTTGATGGAAATGGTTAAATATATGGGTCGTGAAAAAGTGCTATAACTTCTACCAACCTCAAACATGCTCAGTGTATCATGATTATAAGATCAACAAGACACTTCATTTATCTTCACTTTCGGTTTTTGTCTCCTGCAGTATTAGTATGGTATTGTAAAGATTACAGACTATTTCAAACTATTTTTAATCACACGTAACAAAATATAAGAGAATCTATACCTAAGAAACCACTCACTAATAGGATGAGAACAATCACGTTATCGATGTTTATATACACGTAAGTGAAAACTGGCAGAAGTACTTAAGAATGAGTAAAAAATGTATACATGAGTTAGATTAGAATTTCTTTGTCCTAAATTGTGAAAGTCATGCTTTTTTTACACCTCATGATATACAGAATAGCAGATTAATAATAGGTCTTAGCTGCTATGGTCTTAACTCTAAAATACCTATAGGAAATATTGTTAATTACGTTGTCTACCTATATCATTTGTTAGTAGTGTGTAAAATACATAAGCTTTTAGTGCATCCGGTTGAATGCTATCATCATGTTGGAAGAAATGCATACGGGTTACATTATCTCGGAGTTTGATCTGCTTTTTTGAGCATCTCTTCTGCAATTTTGCAAAGAATGTCGAGAATTTGATCTCTTGGTGTATATTTCGAAAGTCAGTTCAGACTGATGTATTTAGGGCTCCAAGTTAGTTGTCATTGTTCATTTTGAATAGTAGATCCAGACGTCCTATTTGTTAGCATTCATATAGAGTTGTTATCAGTGTAGTATAAATGTTTAAGCTACTGTTTCCCTATCTTTCAGTAAGATCTAATACATGCAACCTGTCAACGTTCAGTATATTCCTTAAAGATTGAGAAAGAATCTATTTCTGTAGTTTATCAACTGCTAACCTCGTCTATGGATATTTTTCATGCGTTCTTGTCATCCCTAAATGCGCGCAATGGGTCTGCAGAGTTCTGAAGGTAGTTCATTCCTCATATGTGTAGGTTATCAATATCAGTGTGGGAAGTCTTAGAGTTGACCACTTTAAGTTTTCGATAAAGTTTAGTTTCATGTTCTCGCGTTGTCGCGCTCCACTATTTATCCATCGTTTTTTAGGTTGTTTATCAGCTTGAAATGTTAACCGTTTTCCAAATAATGGATTTTTGCTTTTTGACTGATTGTTCTTTTCTGGTTAGGATGTACGGTGGTATTCGTAATGCTTAAACTACTGAGCATAGAGCTACATAAATAAATTGTCTTTCAAGGGTGTTTTATTGACTTCCAGTGTCACCCACTAATACACCGTAGTGCACAATGTTACATGGTGTTACTGCGATCTGCGAATATATTGCGCCCTTTGATTGGACACTAGTTAGTAACTAGTGTAACGTGTCTAGTCCTTTGTTTGGAGCAGACTGAGTTCTATCAGTCCAGTTTGCAATGTGGCCACCATTCTAGGTGGCTCGCCATCACGGTGCATTGTGAAACGTTGATATTAGTTGTTTGAAGACAGTCGGCAGGGAACCTTGGACCTAGGTTTCTGAGATTCGAATCTCAGAGGGGATATGGGTTTCTACAAGGTTGCAGATACGCCTTGCCGACGAGTGCCAACTAGCATGAAACCTAGGTCAGGTATTGCTTCCTGCCGATCGCCTCCAACCGTCTAATATATTGCACTCTTGTTCGGTAGATTTTGGTTAAAATTCCCAACTAGGCGAGTGTAGGCTGACTAGCGTCCGGTGGGGTCACTTAGCTGAAATACTTCAGCCTATAAGTTTGCTTTTTTTTCATTTTTACACATAATACTCGGTTTACAGGCTTCTTTTTCCTTCATATTCCATCTGTTTAAGAAAAACTCATATATATTTTTTTCAGTCAATGCTATTCGACAAATTAATGAAACAGAAACGGAAGAACTTGATTCAGAACATTACGCCATTGCTCTTGGCGTTCTTGTCAAACTTATGCAGGTAGATATATATGTATATATATATATATGTTTTGGTATTTATGTGTTAAAAAATTACATTTAAATTAACTCACAAAGCTGTTGATTATCGAATGCTGAAAATGTTCTTTTACTGGTATTTCATTATACCTGTTACCATAAACTAGTTGATAAGGTAACCGTCTGGTAGGATGTTTCGCATTACGAACTTCTCATGACTACTGAATGATTAGTTATTTATGAAAAGTGATGATTTTTCAGTGGCTACGATTAATTTCACATTTTGAATACCTCAGTTAATCTGAAGAGACGTCAGAGAATAGTAGTTCGTGAAGTGGGATTTTGCAAACAAAAGCGATTTAGGCTTTTTCATTTGAAATCGTCTCATCTGTACATTACCAGTATATTTCTTTACATATCTTATTCAACCTATTGACTATGCAAATTAGGCATTTGATGTCATATATGACTCCATTATTTTCACAATTTCTAATCACAATCGCTGTGCCTTTCTTCTTTTCGATTCATCTGTTCAGAATGAACGTGTTGTATTAGATCATCTACAGTTGACAGATAGTCCGCAAGATTCTCTGGTGTTATTATTCACCATATTTAAAAATGGATCGACTGATGTCTTGACTGAAGGAACGGCAAGTTTTCATTTTATACTTTTACTCCAGTGAAAGTTATTCTTTTTGTAATTTGAAGAAAGTATTTGTGTTTTTTTAAAAAATAGGTAGCCTTCTTTATGATTCATTGGTTCAGGTATTCTCAATGTAGAACTCCCTGTAAACTTGTCTCTTTTCCTCTTTTCGACTTGTTGTCAAAGCGCATTTGTATTATTCCGATCGAAATGGAGTATCCATTTATATGTTCTTCAGTATGAACAAGAAGCATCAATTGCAACTAATTGTGCACTCAATTATGAGCAATTAGCCTGAACAGCTCAGTGGCAGCGTCTCTGACTGTAGCACTGGGCGGAGCGGGTTTGAATATCAGAAGAGATATGAGTTCCTTCGAGGTTGCAGATACGCCTTGCTGATAAGCGCCAACTGGCACGAAATCTAGGCCGTGCGTTGGTGGCACGGCTGTAGAATGCTCGCCAACCATGCATGTGGTATGGGGTTCGATCCTGGGCTGATGCACTGATTTACCTCGCTAAGCCAGTAATAAGACTGGTAAAGAGGGGGAGTTTGGACATAAGGCTAGTAATCTCATCCGGTAAAAATAAATGCTACCGATGCTACCGAAACTGTAAAGTTCTAGCTTGAAGCCCTATGTTCCTCTGGAAATGTAAAGGAATAAAAAAGTGCAGTGTCTACCATTATTTGTTGTAGTCCTAGCTGTAAATTGGATAGAATGGGATAAAAGAGAAGGCCAAAAAGATAATAAAATGAAAAACTGTAGAATGCTTCAAGCTGAAAGTCTGAATTTAGTAAAAGAATTAGATACTGTTATCAAAAGTATGATTAAGCATCAGGGCATCTGTGTCTCGACCATCAGTTCTGACTTATATTATCCAGGATCTCTAACCATACGTTTTGACAGCCACCCATACTGCAGCTAGCTAACACATATTTCTTTCACTTACATCAAATCATGGGTTATAAATCAGTGTTGTGTATAAGTCTGGTCACCAGTCTTCTTTTTCTGGCCTAACCTTACTAGTTCTCCTCTTACAATTAACTCGAAGAATTTTTTGTCTAACAGGGGAAATCGATATTTGTCATCTATTTAAGGCTGACCCTCATCAAATATGAAGATTAAACTTACACTGTTGGGTCGTTTGACAGCGGCTTTTTCTAATTACTGAAGTTCAGATGGGTGGTTAGTACCACACAATATGTGTAACTTTATAACTTAGTACCTCAGTATTAACGTGTTTCCAAAGTTGCATTCATATATATATATATATACATATACTATTTATTACCTATTTTATTCCTCTACGATCCCAGTGGATCATAGAGCTTCAGGCTAGAGCCTCGAAGTTTCGGTAATAGCGGTGTTTATTTTTACAGGGTAGGGTTGCTAGCCTCATGCTCAACCTCCCCTCTTTACCGGTCTTGTTACCGGCGTTGCGAGGTAAAGGTGTGCACCGGCCGGGGATCGAACCCTATACCACATGCATGGTTGGCGAGCATCCTACCTCTAAGCCACTGGTATATATATAGATAATTTATATTGAGTACTAAATGTAATCTATTTTATGCTAGTGTTATTGTTGTATTTTTTTTCTGTGAAAATAATTACCTTAAAAATTTGGTTTTTTTTGATAGACTCTTACTCGTCTAATGCATCGTGCACAAGGACGTGCTGAATTTCACATGGTCATGTCACTACTAGTCGTTCTAAGAAAATTCAGTCAAATCTCCAACGATCTTTTATCTGCACTTCAGGTGAGAGTAATCTTTGTGTGGAGTAACTTTTTATGTTTTATTAAATTGTTTTATTGCATACTCGGTGGTAGCCAGCTGTAGAGCCAATGGATGAATTTTTCGTCCTATTCGAGAGTACTCATCAGTTGGATCCTTTTGCATAACATGGAATGACAGTCTTCTCATTTAACCTTAAACTTATCACCAATCGGTACGAAAGTCGGAGAGTCAGCTACCAAGCTACAGAACTATGAGAACTAACTCTTTTTCTGTGTGTATGATTTGTTTATAGTTGTAATTTTTGGGTTGATATTTCTGGATCAGCTCACTAGGCTTAAGTAGTGGTTAAAGTGATTCCAAGTGAATAAACATCGTATGCAGTACTATAAATAATGACTGTATATGTATTGTGTTCAAGTAATACATTCAATTAGCTTATGAACTTTATGTAAACGAGTCTGAGTGTAAGTCTATCGTGCATTAAGGAGTGATCTGTAGCATCACAGAAAAGTCACTAGATGTGGTTGCAAATAGAAATTAACTGAATCAATAGTATTTTTCATGCTACATAGTCTAATACAATAACTTTACTCATCTTAACACTTGTTTTCCGTCTCGAAAATAAACTCATGTGCATACTTCAAAAGTTCGTTGTCAAACTTTGTTTTATCATATTTTTTCTTTTTAATTCCTCTGATTCGTCCTAATTCATTTAAATTTTTCAGGGTATTGATAGTGTATTGGTTGACTTCAACCAATTAGTTTTACGATTGTTAAGTCAAAGTAAGACAACATTGGAGACTTACGTCCAATTTTTACAACAAGTCAGTGAAAAGTCTAGTGCAAGTAGTACAATTGTACCTGCAGACGCCACAATACATGAGCTGACAACTAATGTGAGTACATTTTGTAATTTTGTGCACTTTCAAGTTTTTTGTTCAAGTATTTGTAATATTTACTGAGTCACATGTATTTTCGGCAGGGATTTTTAAACTCATGATTACCGCCTAAAACAATAGTAATCTAGGTATTAGTATAAATAAAAGGGCCAACTTTGAACTTAGTTGAGTCCCTGGGTGTAGTGGTTTTGGCATAGTTATCTCAGTAATTTGTTTGTTTACATGGAGATGAGTTCTTTTCATTTTCTGGACTACCGACATTCAACTATGTAGGTTTTAGTTCGAGTTTTACTGTCATATACGTCAGATGTGGCTATTGATTAGTTGTGCTGTCATCCACACAGTTGTACCTACCAAAAATATGCGTTTCTTCGCTCATTCACTTTTTCCGAGTTTTATATTCAAAGTCGGTCACTAAGATGCCTTGATTCAAGAATTCAATGATGAATCTAAACTTGCTACTGCAATACATTTCGTGCAACGACTAATTCATATTAGACTTGTATCATGTAGATAAGTCAGTTAGTATCAATCATGTGAGGGCACATTTTCTATTCAATCTTTTTATTTTTGAGTCCTTTAAAAAACATAATCATTTCCTGCTCACTCTTCTCTATTCAACGTTCTTTTATTAGGCATTAATGTATTTAGAAAATTTGTTAGAATTCGCGGATATTATTGGAACTGCTTTGTCATTCACTGAAGCTGGTCCGCAGGCGACAAACAACACCCTTAAATATCTTGGCAATACTGGTCGCAATTTATCTTACCTTGAACATCGTTTTGGAAGTTATTTATGTAAGAGTCGTCTACTGTATTATATGTGTGTTATTTTTAAAATATTTGTTTGTTTTTGGGTAATTGTTAAGGCTGTATTCATTGTATCTGTTCACATTCTGTTTAATGTGCATGGATCATAATGAATCACGTCGTAATTCAGTCACTCTATTCCAACTGGCATACATGCGTCTTCTTGAATGTTTTGTCTTTAATTGCATCTTGCGAACATGGATAGATGATAATGAACGCCTGTATTTCAAGCTCTTCCAATGGTTCTCTAACTAATGTCAGCTCATGATGAAAATCCTGTAACCAATCAAATCCCTAAAAACCAACACTTGAATATCAATGAGATGCTCACTAGCGACTTGCCCTACTCAGGTAGGTAGTTACCTGGGATTCTAGTGAGAAGTCGTGACCAGTAGGGTGCAGCAGGTCAGGTGTGAGGACAAATACTCGCCGAAGACATTGGCTAGGGGTCGCGCTATGTCGTGAATTGGCAGAAGTTAGAATTCATGGGCCATTGGATCGGGTCCCGGTGGGTACGTACTGATGAAGAGTCCCAAACTAGGACGAAACAGTTGTCCAGTACTCCCAGGTTTTCCAGTGGTTCTCTAACTAATGTCAGCTCATGATGAAAATTCTGTAACCAATTAAATCCCTACAAACCAACACTTAAATATCTTCTGTATCTGTTAGTTTTGTAGTCTTAAGGTATTTCCTGTGTCTTCAGTGTAGTCCGAATAGCATCATTCAGAAAATTTTCTAAACATTTCCCAATTCCTGATGCTTTTGCAGCTCATTTTGCTTTCTTCTTACATTTTACTAATTTTGAGTGACTTGAAAACTACTGACTCCTTTGTGTTTTTTCTAAATTTGTATTGGAGGTTTGTTCTAGGTGTTGTGGATTAATCTGGTGATGTTTTTTAAGTGAACTTTATTCTGATACTACCGGAGGTTTTGATCGGTATAGGCCTGCTGATTTAAAATCTTTTGAACTAATTTTGATGTAGATAAACTAATCACTTCTATTACTTTGTTATCTACTAGGCTATTAGATTCACTGCCTTTATGAAATTTGGTAATTTGAACTGATGCCTTTTGTGTAAATGTCTACATTTTTATAAGCCGGTGGTGTGAAATAGTGGGTTTACCTCGCTTGAAGTTTAGATGAACATCTAATTGGTGAACACGAGTTTCTTGTCAGTTGGTTTATCCTAATGAATAACAAAGTTTTCACTCGTAATAGTGTACGCCTTCAAGAGGATTACGGTGTTTGATTGTGAAAACATGCATTTGGAGTCCACACCGTATATTTGGAAGCAATTTCAGATCATTGTTGTAGACGGCAGTGGAAATTGTGGTGGGATGATTTTTGAGTTGGATAGTATACAGATTATTTTCATTGAAGAGTTAAAGCCAAATACTTTGCAAATCAGTTTAGCTGGCATGAAGTGCAACCTTCTTTAACACATAGATCTTGGTGGCCAGTTTACCTGACTTTTTGCAGGTTTAACAAGAAATCTAACTGCTGAAGCACCATAAAATCACTGCTCAGACACAAGACATCTGGTTGTTTTCACAAAGTCTGTAGTTTGCCACATAATAAGAAAGATTGAGGATGTTCTTATCATTATAGAATCAGGCTGTCATTGTAATAATAATAATCATTAAATTATTGTTTTCACTGTCGTCATATTTCAACAACTGCAGAACGCACAGGAAACTGATTTGGGAGCCAAGTAGTGGTTGCATACGCACACTTATTCTAGGCAAAGTTGTTCATGATTCGTTGGACATCAGTTGTCTGCTTAGGATGGGATACTTGAAAAACTTATCTTTATCATTATAGCCATGTATAAATAATCCTACTAGGTAAGCTGAACGTGTTCAACAGTCTTTCACCATTGGTTGAAGTTAGCAATATGGGATTAGGCCATAGCTGAATAATTTGTGTTCAAGCAATCGTTTAACAACAATAATTGATGTGTTTGTCAAATAAAAATGAAATGCAAAACATTAATTTCTCAGTTCATTTTCTAAAATTTTTATTGTTATGCTATACTACAGTCGGTGCTTTATTTGCTCTAATGACAAATTTGGAGCGTAAATCAGAAGTGTATTCCGAAGAGATACGTCGAATGATCTTCCAAATGAACAATATCCAATACATATTGAAAAGTATTTACAAGTATGTAAAACAGTGTTACGTCTATATTCTTATTGATTTCGTAACCATTTGGTGCAATGCATGTGGTGTAAATTACTGCCTACTATGATGGTTGGTCACTGGATAGTAAGTGACTGGTTGTATATTTTCCAATCTTAAGTTCTCACTGAGTTATATCATCCAGTTTGGCAATGTGTTCTTCAAGCTTCGAGCTTCTTCACCGCTGTATTTGTCGGAAAGCTCGACAGCTAGATTTCCTGCTCATTCCGCTACTTCGAAGGGAGTAATGTCCCTTGTGAGGTCTGTATCAATAGTTCAGTAGTAAATTCTCTGTTAATGGAGTATCAGTTGGCACGAGGTAATGACGAAAATTGCATTATAAATGCGAAATTATTATCATTACTATTATTCTCTTGGTTTCGAATGGAACATAGGGTTTCAGCGGCACATAACCATTCCAATATATATATATATATATATATATATATATATATACGAATGTGTTAGTTAATCTCCACCTTCACTGGAATCTGACATTTTTTTGATGTTTCATATTTTAAACTTTCAGGACAAATATTCACCGTTATCTTTTATCTCAAGATCGAGAAGCTATCGCCAAATTCACTTGTGTCCTGGATGAACGTAAAGCTTTTTATTCACGATGGTATGTTTATTGTGTACACCCAATTTTTTTTGGGTGTATTTACTATTGATTGACACTATTATTTTGTACATCAACTTTTTTCTGATTCCAATTAATAAAAATCAAATGTTTGTGTATTGCGTCCAATGCTTTAGTTTGTTTTATTAAAACTTTTTAAAGAGTTTATTTTAAGATGGTGGACTAAACCCCCTGCAAAGTATTTTCTGCATTCTTCTGAAGGTTAGTTTCAAAGATATATTTATTTAGCACAGTAAAAAGCCAATCAGACGCAAATTTTTGAAGTCGATTAATATTGAATCAATGAATACATCTTTTAGTTGAAGTCGACGTTAGTTTCAAATATTTTGAATATCAAGAGTCACTAGGCTGTTGTTTCGTCCAAGTGTGATATTCCTCAGAAGTTCACTTTGGTAAGTTATAATAAAAGTTGCGCTTAGAATAGTTAGATTACATGACCAGCACGTTAGAATCCAACCTAATGAGCTACAACCAATCGATAGTGGATTTATGTCACTAATCCATTAAAGATACAAACTACAAACTGTTTTATTTAGATCTGGTGTCTGAGTTCATATATTGGTTAGTCACTGAATAGAAATACTTTTGCATATATATATAACTATAGAATAACTGTATTCCTACTTTTAGTTTCATTTTAAATTCCAACTATGAACTCTAATTACTTAGGTAGGTAGGATGATGTAATTCCATTATGGGTACAATTTTATTTTGATAAAGTCTCACAGTATTAGACAGTAATAATATTTACTGATGACATTTCGAGCGAAATTTGTTGCTCATCATCATATCAAGGTACTCACACAACTTTATAACTTCGTTTATATAATTCCATTATTGTTCATCGCTTGACTTGATTGGTAGTGGTATTTTCCATATTTCCTGTATGAGTAATGAGTCATTCCTATTACATGTGTTGGGTGTGGACTCGATGAACAAAGATTCAGTAATCGACCTCTCTTTCAACCTACATGGATTACTTTTTAGAATTTTAACCCTCTCCCACCCTATCGTGTGGTTGTGTGTTTAATGCATGCAGTGCAACGTAGTGCTGAGCCTTTCTTTAAATTGTCTATCTTCTTGGGGTCAGTCATTCTTACCTTAGCCAAATTCTTATCTTCCGACAATCTGACTACCCCTGTTCTACTAGTTTGACTTATGTAGTTGACCTGAGTCACAGTCACTGCAAGGTATTTTGTAAATTATATTATTTTGTCTGATTGGGTCAACCGACAGGGTCCTTCAACCTACAGAGCTTGTCCGTGAGTGAGTTTGTAGGTTTAAATGCCAATCTAATTCCTGCTTTTTTAAGAATCCTTCGTAGGGTCTCAGTTGTCCTCTTCTTATATGGTAAAACTGCAGATGCCCTATATTCTCTCTTATCCATGTCATCATTATTAGTTTCCCCATCATTTTTATTTTACTTTTGACCTTTTCTGATCTTCCTAATGAATTTAATAGGATAGTTATTCAACACCAACGCTTCTTCTATCTGTTTCATTTCGTCGTTTAGGTTTTTAGTTGTATTACTTAGTGTTATTGCTTGGTTTGTTAGACACTTTACTAAGCATAACTTAACAGTTAACGGATTAGATTAATTAAAGTCTAAATATCTATTAGAAATATGGAAAATACTACTGCCAATCAAGTCAAGCGATGAAAAGTAATGGACTATATATTCGAAGTTATAAAGTTGTGTGAGTACCTTGATATGATTATGAACAATGAATTATGCTTGAAACGTTATCAGTAAATATTACTGTACAACACTGTGAGGCTTTATCAAAGTAAATTTTATCCATCATGAAATTATGACCTACCACAGTGCACAAGTTCTATTTTTATAGAATGATGTAAAGCGGGAAACCTAGCTTTTTATTCAGTTATGCGTGTGAGTGCAAAAGAGGTCTATGTTAATATTAGCCACAGAGTATGGCTTTCCAAATCATTAAAGTTTATGATATTACAGCTTTTGTTCACTTGAACCTTTTTTTTATAAAAATCAATTGCATCACACAATAATTTCTGTTTCTTTATTCTTTCAAAATTCTGACTTTGTTTAACCTCTAAAATACATCATATAGAAGCAGTTGAGAACTTTAAATACCTTATTAAAAATTGCTACATTTCAAAATAGTGCATCAAGTAGACCAGCAATTTAAAACACTGACAATTTTTATAAAAGACAGACTAGAAGTTGGGAATAGACAAATAAACATAGAATGGTATGACTTTCAATAATAAAGGGAAGTCACAGATTCGACTGAATCGGGATTTATGGTAAATCATGCTATTTGCCATAATCATCTATTTTATTTTAGCATTTCAATGATGATTCATCATAAATTTCAGTCTATTATTATTATTATTCCCTTGGGTTCCGCATGGAACATACGGCTTAAACAACACATCTCCACTTCCATCTATTTTCTGCTGTCATCTTCAGATGGGCTCACGATTGAACATGATCTCTCATCTCCTCTTCTCACGATCTCCTCAGTGTCACCCTTGGAAGACCCACTCGTCGCTTCCCAATGGGATTCCACTTGAGAGCCTGGCACGTGGTGTCATCCGACGGTTTCCTCAACGTATGCCCGATCCATCTCCATTTTCTCCTTAATATTTGTTGGGGGATCAGCTCTTGGTTGCTTTGTTGCCAAAGTTTCTTGTTACTTATTCTTTATGGCCATCTGATCTTCAGTATGGAGCCAGAGAAGGCAGTTGTTGATGAAATTCTGCAACCTGTTGGAAATCCTTTTCGTTACACGCTAGCCAAGTTTCTGACCCGTTTACAAGGACCGACTTGACATTTGTGGTGAAAATCCTAATCTCGTTCTTTATGCTAAGGTGGAGTGTTGAAGATTTCCAAACTTCTCTATGTCCACCTACAGTCCTGTCTTCGCTGCCAGCCTCTTCAGCCATTTTGTTGGTTTTCACCTGTGAATCTTCGAGTTTGTGTGACATTAGACATATATCATCTGCGAAATCCAGATCTTCTAGGGTCTTCTTATCGATCCAACGTATTCCTGTCTTCTCACTCCCCACTCACACTCTGGTGTATAGTCCAGTCCACCACAATTAAGAATGTCACCAGCGATAATGAGCAGCCAGCTTGTCTTGCGTCTGTATTCATTTCGAACGACCCTCTGAGTTTTCCTTTGATTGTTCCGCGTTAAACTTGATTATAAGCAATTCACTAAATTACATATATGTTAGGGTTATTTCGGTCGGTAAAACCTGAAAATTCATATGCTGAACTCTGCGCTTAATATTTTTCTGGAATAGACAAATTCACATGGGTGATCAAGACCACACACAGTTATACATGAGCAGTATGATATTCTATTAGTAGGAAGAGCATTTACGCTGCTGTGAGGACGAATCACAGCTACTAAACTCGTATGAATTGATTCATATTCTTTCCTGTCGCTGCTATCTTACGTACTTAATACCTCCTGATTTCTTGCGTTAGACTTGCTATTCAGTTATTGCAGTTTCAACAACAAACCAAAAAACTTTCTTGTTACCCACTTAATAATTCTGTCCTGAAATAACTTCTGATGAATTATCTTCAACCTTTTTTTTGTAACTTGGATTAGTTTAATTTGTAGGCCTGACGTGAGAAAAAATAAACCGCTGTACAATTTTTCCGATTTTTGTAGTTATAGAATACTATTTTAGCAAATACATTTTTTGGGGTAAATTCTCATCAGGCTTTACATTTACATAATGAAATATTAGTCATAGGCGTTTGAGTTAAAGTGGTTATTTTAATTTAGTTTCTTTTAATATCGTGTGATTGTATTGCACAGACTAGTGGATGATGTACGTGTGTATTGAGAATTCGTTCAGCAAAAGATCCGTCCAGGTATATATATATATATATATATAAAACAACGAAAGCTGTGGATACCTCTAATCGCTACTGTTTATCTTTAGATATCATGACCAGTAGTGAAATCTCACTGTTTATCTAAGAGGTTGTTGCAACTTGCTTTTGCTTTTCCTAGTATCTTGTGATTAACCTAGTTCGATGTAGGGGAAAAGTAGGATTTCTCTATTTTATATAATAAGCGTTTAAACTGTGACTGTGATCTCATCGTCCGTGCTTTCACACATGTTCCACACTTTTCACATAATTTTTCTATCATTCGCAATGCATTTAATTTCTGTTCTGTTCAATTGCAAGTTAGTCAAGCTATACACTTTTTTTACGTGTATTAGTTGTGCCAGTGTATTGCACTTACAACCATTTCCTGAAAGCTGTGGAACAAATAGTATGCGTCGTCGTAGAGCCTCTCAATTTGGATCTGCTCTGGTGTCCGTTTTATCACCTAATCTCAATGCCAGTCATCACAAACACTTACCATCTGGTAACAGTGAACAGTCCAAGGAGATTTTGGATGAGCAACAGTTAACTAAGGTGTCGCTTTCTTTGTTCAGTGTATAGTTTACTTGTAAAGTCATCGGTGCATCATTTGAATTTCGATAAAACATTTGATTCGTTGCCTGTCATCAATGTGCATGCTATTTGTTCTCACCTCAACCGTATATTTGATAAAAGAAACCCATTCGCTCCCTGTTGAATCTGTGTAATGTTTATATACTTTCAGTTTTCAATCATTAGGCATGCATGATTTGTAATAATAGTAAATTTTCTCTTATTTACGTATATGTCCTAACCTTTTATTTGGTTCCATGTAGTTAGTCTTTACTAAGATAAGGGTCCAGTGTATCAGACTAACATAATAACTAGTGTAGTAATGTGTGATCCATTTCACCATTGTTTTTGCAATCTACATGGAATGATCCAATTATAAATTCTTGACAGTCCCTTCCTTGTGAAGAAGCATGCCTTTTGATATGTTTCCTGACCATCTTTTAGTGGAAATGGTCTCCCATGATCTGTTTTCTTCTTCTTTTCTTTGCATAATTGAACCGATCCTTCCCAGGTGTGCACGCATGCTCTCACTTCTTGATGGTAGTCTTTTAAATCGTCTCTCTGGTATGGTAAATCGTCCCGTGAGTCTTTGTAAATTCTCTGTAATGTGTATAAATGCCTATTAATTCTTAATATGCATGCTTGTGTGTAAATTTCAGTAGTTGTTTGTGGGCTCAGGCGTGTAATTGCCTTTGTTGTTTTTTTACATATCTGTATCTTTAATACATCGTTTTGCTAGGTGTTACTTTCTATTCTGTATGCTTTCTTGATACTTTTGGTTATTTTCAATGGTAAAAATTTTTCTATTGCCTTTCAATTTTAACAGATAGACAACAAAGAAAAGGCTTCAATAAAAACGCTATGGCAGGTAAGTTATTTTGCTTACAATTAAAAGTTTGTAAGAACTTAATATTTTGTTTTCTTCTTAATTTATTACAACCTGAGTATGTGAACCGTAATCTCGATTATGTATTACAGCATGAAAGGAGGTGCTGAAAATCGCAGGAAAAGTCGGACTAGTAATGTTATAAACTATAGTATTTGACGTACTCAGGGATTGACTTGTTACCGGGGACTAATCTCGTTGACTTAAAATATGTGGATGACATAGTCCTTCTTGGTTGTGAGACCTGGCCATTGAGAGTGGAAGACATGAAAAGATTAGCTGTATTTGATCATAAGAACCTGCGTTCTGTCTCCCGTGTGAAGTGGTATAATGAGGTGAGCAATGTTGAGGTTAGGCGTCGAGTGTTAGGTAAGGAGGGGAAATCAGTCGACGAGGTTGTGAAGTTACATCGATTGAGATGGTCAGGACATGTGTTACGCATGTCTAGCCATCGATCGCCTTCCTCGACGGGCAATGTTAGGAAGTTGTAGACTTCCTTGTTTGTGTCTTCGGGATGGTAAAAACCAATGAAGGCTGGAGACAATTGGTGATATGGCTCAAACTCGTTTTCGATGACAGCGTGGATGCATTCACTCCTTGTGAGTCATAATATGTAGTAAAACTATATATTTGCTCCATATTACAATTCTTTTTGCCTCATATTTCTGTTTATTGACTTTCTTTTGAATCTGTCCTTACTGTCTTGTCTTAGTTTGTGTGCTACATTGAGTGTGGCAACTTGAATTGCTGCAGATCTGTGCAAATTTCTATGTTGAAACTAGTCAGTCAGTCAATACTTCACATTATGCGCAAATTGATCACCGGACGATTCCTCAATGATGCAGATTGGACTTTTATGAAATTTACAGATATGCATATCCGACACTTACCACTAAACACGGAAACCATGTCTTAGGCTATCTGTTTATTTTCTGGTGGTTATAACTGACATACAAATTGTGTTTTGTCATATGTAGTTAATCTAAAGAATATTGCATGATTAAGCAGCAATCCGGGTTTATACTGCCAACCTGCTTAGCATACTTTTATTATTTAGCCTCTTAAGCTGATCTTATCATGTGATAAATACTACAGCTGTTCAACTGCGTCATTTTTAATCAAATTAAACAAATTTCTCCTCAGCTGGATGGGTAAACATCTTATGCAACTGCCAGTAACCTTGACTTCTATTATGATTATCAATATGTCTTCGGTGTTAGTACGCAACACAGCTCTGGCAATTCTTAAATACAAAAAATAATTCAATTTTGCTGGCTCCTAGTCACGATTAAGCTTTAAATATTTGAAGTCAACTTTTTTTGCTGAATTATTTACTCGATGTTTTTCTTCTCCAGGATCTTAACAATGGATTGAATAGTTTAACCAAACAACACAATCTGATTTCAATTCCTGACAGAGAATTGCGTAATAGCCTAGAGCATCAATTAGTACGTGATCTAGTCCCTATGTATCATGCATTCTGGGAGAGATCTATGGCTGTTTCGTTCACTTCACATCGTGAAAAGTATATCAAATTGTCTGTAGAGGAATTTGAAGTAAGAATTCGACAATTGTTTATTGCAACATCTAATAACGGACGCTGATAGAAGTTTTTTGTTGTTTTGATTTCCGCCTATTTTAACTGTGTTAAGAATAAACTAATATTTGACTTTTTTTTAAATGCCTTTTTCTTTTGTTCATTGCTTCATAAATTGATAATTAATTAACTTGATACTCTATACCACATGTATATTGAATGAAATATATGACTCTGACATTTATTGTCTTGTCTTTTCTGCATAACTTGTATGTATGCGCTATTACAAATTCATGAATTATTATACCTTGATTGGACACTAGTAACTAGTGCGATGTATCTAGTCCTTTCTTCGGTGCAGACTGAATTCCATCAGTCAGGTTTGCAATATGGCCACCATTCCAGGGTAGCTCGCCATTGTCAGTCTCGAGACGGAATAGCTCATTGGCAACATCTCTGACTGCAGCACTGAGTGACGCGGGTTAGAATCTCTGAAGGGATATGAGCTCCCTCAAGGTTGCGGATACACCTTGTTGACGAGTGTCAGCTAGCACGAAACCTAGGCCAGGTAGGGCTTCCTGCCGATTGCCTCCAACCATCTAATATTATGAATTAATATGTCTTTCTTTTACGTTGAGCTATTGCAGTGAATGAAATTGAAACAGAGATTATCTGGGGGAGGGGGCGGATTTCTCTACAGAAAATTTATCTCAAAATACAATACTACTTGGAGTGGAATTCACTGAGAAAAAAAGCTGGACTCAAACAAGACATAGAAACCATTCATTGTTTGTTGATCAGGCTGTAAGCAGTACAGTAGGTGAAATGACCATGATTATTACTTTAATATTCCACTTATTTATTTTATATTATCAACATCTTCAGCCTATCATTTGTTCTTATTGGTGGTAACGCTTATTGGTTATAAAGACAGCCTAAGTACAAGACGTGAAAATTTCACACTAGTGTAGTTGGAGCCGATAATACTTAATATGAAAACCGTTTGAATTTATAACTGCTAGTTATCGGTCAACACAAGTGAGATATGTGATTGCACTGCAGCAGTCTGCTCTGTTCTTTTTCACAGATGTGAAAAGTAGCCGCTCAGCGACAATGAAATTCCGTCTACTAAACTAGTTTGTCCCTTGCCCGGGAAAGAGTTAAGACTGATCGTAGAGATAGCAACCTCACCCTGTAAAAATACTGTCATCATTATCTAGATTTCAAAGCACAGAAAAAACTTACTTATATCTCGAATTGGAAGACGTCTACCCTGCGGACGAATAATGGTGGTAGTTGAAAGTGTTCATAAAGCCAGTCAGTCAACAAGTTTTCTTTTGATGACAGCCAACCTGATCATGCGAATATGGAGTGTCATTCTTGAAGTTGGCCGATGTGGCTGCTCAGATTGCAGGAAAGATGAGGAGATAGAGCATATAAGTGCTAGGAATGTGTGAGAAATGACGGAAAAGAAGTTGACTATACGAATTGGTAATCGTAGGAGGGTCAGTAATCTATTCGTGTCAGCCAAATGATAACTATGTTTACATTAGGACTAGAGGATGATGATGATGTTTCTCAAACAACATGAGAAGGTCTACTGCATTGTAAACCAGTCTCCTCTAATATTGTGAGGGTAAGTTTCAACTGCGAACGTGAAAGAAATTCACAATTACTCAATGCAATACACCTACACACTCAGGATTAAGTACCAAAGATCGAGAGAAAAAGTGAATGTAGATTCAGACCACCGTCTAGTGCAGGAAACAAGCTAAAGGCCATTCTTAGAGGTTTGAGATTGACCACAATTCAAGTTCAACATTCCAAAACTGCAGTATGAACCTATAAAGGACACCTTTACTTCATTCATCGGGTAAAAGTCAGTGACACTAAGGAACGCCCCCGAGGTAACTTGTGTGGATGAAAACTGGAACTGTGTGAAATCTGTGTTCAAAGGAACCTGTTTAGACTACATGTTAGGTAAGCAGGGGAGGTACGAAAAGAAATAGCTCCGTGCAGAAACCTGGAAATCGACAGAGGAGAATAGCGTGGTGAATCAGGAAATGAATCGGCTTAGAGATGAACAGCGAACTGACAAGCTGAGTGTATTCCAGGATGCAATGAACAAGAGTGCTAGGAAGGACAAAAACGCTTTTAGAATGTTCTGGCGACTGAATCATCACAAAATGAAGATGAAATGATCAAATAAACAGATCAATATTCTGGAAGGAATGAACGCAGGTGAGGCCAGTGAAAGATACTGAAGGAACCAGAGACATCAGCGGAAGGTGTGAACGGAAGAGAACGTATCTGATTATTGAAAGGAGGGCTATGTTTTTACTGTTACAGAAAGGTCACTTACGTCTATGCAAGAACAGTCACGGAATCATCGTCATTTCCATCTCAAGCAAAATACTGAACCGCATCATCCTATAAAGACTTAAAAGTTGTGCACGGAACGCTGCACCCAGAAAAGGCTAGGTTCATAAGGGGAGTCAAGCACTGATCAAATTGTAACACTACATATTATCACCGAACAGAACGTAGCACTACACTGAACTCTTTATCTCAACATCATTGATTTTGAAAAGGCATTTGACAGTGTCGACCACGAATTAATTCGGCAACTGGTTTGAACACTGGATTTCAGTACCTCAAACACTCACAAACCTCATTCAACGGTTATTCTACATACCAAGAAATTCACAACAGAAAACTCAGCTAAGCGTTTGTAACAAAGATAGGGGAAAGACGAGGTTGCCTACCATGACCTGTGTTTTTGCTGAAAGTGGTGAACGAGATCATTCAACAGAACGTGAGGTGGAGTAAGAAAACTTGCTTGCATTGGAGCGACAAAAGGATCCTAGAAGATCTGCATTTGGCGAATGCTTTACTTCTCATGTCTCACAAACTCGAAGATTTATGAGTGAAAATCATCGAATTGACAGAAAAGTCGGAGAAGACAGGAATTCAGTTCAACGTAGCGAAGAAAGAAGTGATGCAGATATCTAGCCGACAACAAACACCAATCATTATCAACTGGAAATATCATCTATTGTGCCTGCTTAACTTGGGCAGCAATTGCTGGCGACGAATATGAAGATTTTGAATTCATTCAGAATAGGATAGAGAAAGCAAACAATCTTTCATTACTCTGAAACCAATTTGAAGATACACAGCACTTAACAAAAGTAAAATGATCTATATTTTCAACACTGATATCAAGTCATTGCTCTTATATGATTCAAACGAAAGCATTTCCACCAGCCTTTTCAGCAGACTTTCGTCAACTAACATCTGTCTTCATGCAATACTGAAGGTCGTATAGTCGGAAGGGATCAGCAACGAGAAAATGACAGAGAGCCTATTACCTGACAAATACGCAGATGGATCGATTGACTTTGAGACAACCTTCAAGTAACATCACACTTCTGACCTTTGAGTTGAACGTGATCTGATGTGACGAGTTGGGCATTCAGGAGTGACATGGTGGGTATCATATTAAGGGGAAAGAAAGGTTCTGGAGCCAAAATGAAGCGATAGCAGAGAATCCAGTGCATTTGAGGTTCCATTTGAAGCTCTAGGAATTAATGATAAAGACAAAGGCATGAAACGGGGGCAGATCGTAGGTATCTTTTTGCTATTTTCATATTTAGTGCATTCAGAGAGTTAATAATTAGGTAAGCATATTATTGTACAAAACTATGAAACTGAACCTTGTAACATGGGATTTTTGTCACCAAGAATAAATAATATTCTAACCGAAATTTAGTTAGACTAGAAAATGTAGATGTGGCCAGACTAACTTTTCGACCGTTGCTATGAGTTGTCCAAGCTGTGTGATCAGTGTCTTCAGTTTACTACATCCAAGTATCCTCAGGATCCTAGAAACATTTCTTAATATTTTTCACACTGGTGTAAGTGTTTGAAGTCGATAACATTTTAGGGATTTCCAGCCTACTTTCCTTTAATTCTATAATACTTTGTTTATTAGATATATCACAAAGTGAAACAGTATTATTTTTGTGGATGACATTTTGAACACAATTTCTTCTTCATTATCGTGTCAAAATTTCCTTTGATTTCCTCCTACTTTCTCATTGTACTATCACCAAACATTTACTCGATATCATGCAACCGCTTGAGAGCGCATAGAGAGTTGCCAGTTTTAGTGATGACAGTCAGTGTTTTTCATTAAGGATTTTGTTGTAGATATACTGATAAAAGGTGATTGTTGTCAACTTCAAAGTTTCAAGGGAGCCTGACTTATTATCATGACATATTCTCTCTTGTTGATCCAGATTGCACAAGTGATAGCTAGGACATATGTTCAAGGATAGTAAAAGCTGTTTGAAAGCCCCAGTAGGAATAATTACAGAACTCATTTTTCCTACTTAATACCAGTTAAAAGACATCACAGAATTGGTTTTGGTTTAACTCAATTTATAGTTTGTTTGCTAACTGATTCTTGTCATAACTGTCTTTCATCTACTTAGTACTTAAAGAATACTATCTAGTTTACCCAAATACTTGCGCGAAGTTGAACCTCTACACTTTTGCACTAGCTTGCATTCATTGTAATTTTGAATAGTTCGTTGTTTTGTAGTCATTAGTTCCATATCAACTACATCATTTTATTCAGATGTACGTTATACAATAATAACTCTAAAGTGCGTAACCAGTTTGTTGCTATCTGTCTGTAAAGGCTGAATAAATTCTATCGGTCAAGTTTGCATTTACGTTAACAACCTTGAAAACTAGCCATTTTGTGGTGCTTTGTGAGTCACTGTTTGATGGTGGAAGTTAGTCGAAAACAGGCACTAAATCTATGTTAATGACAGTCCTCAGTAAACAGTTCATCAAAGACTCGGACAAACACCACACAATTCAGCGCTGCAGTCAGTGACATTATAACTGAACCTTTAAATGAAAACCGCTCTGAAGGAACATCAACTCCATATCAGATTGTTTATTTGATATATCACACAGTGAAACAGTATTATTTACTGGATGACGTTTCGAACAAAATTTATTGTTCATAATCATATCAATTATAATCACACGACTTTGACACTTGAGTTCTATAGTTTTCTTTGTTCTCTCCTATTTGTCGTTTGGGTAGTAGAATTTTCCAGATATCGGGGACAGGTGATGAATCATTCCTATTACATGTATTTGTAGTTGATTCGATAAACAAAGCTTCTGTTATCAATCTCTCCCTATACCCTGTGACATTAGATTTTAAAACTGTCATCCTATCCCATCCTATTGTGTGGTTGTGTGTAACTGCATGTAGTGCTATAGCTGAACTATTCTCTAGATTTCTTATCTTATTCGGGTCAACCAATCGAGATTTTGCTAGGTTTTTATGTTCAGCTAGTCTGACTGCCCCTGTTCTACTAGTTTGACCTATGTATTTGACCTGACAATCATTACAGGGTATGAGATAAACTAAATGGGACAAAAACCACAATATCGATTGGGACAATGTGTGTATTCTAAAAACTAACATGAACAAATGGAAAGAAAGACTTATAACAGAATCGATATT